TTCCGATCAATAATTTTAAGAGTTCCAGCCTGTGGAATTGGACAAGCGGCTTCATAAAATGGCGGCATTCCCAAGCCTGAGCCCCTCACTCATTACTGCCATAGCCCCTCACCTCTCCAACGCCCGGTCTCACCCTGCAAGCCCCACCGGATCTGCTCGTGCACCTGACATCTCTGCTCTCACGGAGCCACTGCACGGCTGGAGAGGGACGCCGTGCACAAGGGTGGATGGCTCCCAAGCTCTGCTGGGCCCTGAGTGCCCACTGTCCTGTACCCTCACCATGTGCCCTATTCCCCCTCCCACCCCTGCCACCCTGGTGCCCAGCAATAGGTGCCCTCCTCCTCAGGAGGCCACCCACCTTCCCATCAGGGCTCCTCTCACCCAGGCCCTCGCTCCAGCTGTCCCTTTTCTCAGCAGCATCTTCAGATTCTCCCCCTTGAACCATGCTTAGGCCACCACTCCCAAAGAGCAGCCTCTCCATCCTTCAGCACATAGCACAGCTCTGGCAGAGGACCCCAGGTGGCATTAGGAGCCCTCTCCCTCCAGGACCTCTGCAGCAGGCAGGCCACCCCTTGGGCAGTGAGTGCTTGTGCCCCTGGCCTCCAGGAACCCCACTCACCTCCCTGACTCCCTTCAATCTTTTTGAATTTCCAAGGTGAATAGATGGGTCTCTCTCCTTTGGCTCTCTCCTTCAATGTTGCAACTTCCTCACCTTCACTGACGATGCTCCTTGAGGTGACCACCATTTATCTCCTAAGTGGCCACTCCTGCATATGTCTGAGCTTCCAGCCAGAGCTCTTCACTGAGTTCCAGACCCAGAACCTCACTATCCGCCAAACACTACAAAAACCAGGCCTTTTCCCCTGCACGATGCAACATGCCCTAAAGGAAGCTCATCCTTCTCCTCCTCGAGCCTGTCCCATTCCCCAAGCCCCAAACCTGGAGATGGACTTGCCACTGGCCTCTCCTGGGACTTCTAGCAGTCAGGCTCATCTGTCCTCACTCATAAATCCTTCTCACAGACACCTCCTCCTCCATCAAAACCACTTCCTGACTGAACATGTGCACACACTCTGGCCCTGCTGTATCTGTTCAATCATCAGAACCAGAGTAGTCTCGCCAGAAGAGAAAAACAAGCAGGCCTTGTTTTGCTCAAAATCCAGGCTGGACATCAGGGCCTTTCCCT